TGCTTGTAAAGATTCAGGATCACAGACACTCTCAAAGCCGCAGAAGGGTGCTGACAGTTCCCTTCTCTTCCGTCATGTGACTGAACTAGCTGGGGGAGGGGCCTGTGTCAACCCAGTGTGTTCCTATGGGGTCCTTGGAAAGTGGCCTTCCCTACTGACCCAGTGCCTAGAATCAAACCAATCAGGGAAGAGATGAAAGGGCGTGGGGGGGGGGAATTCAGAAGTTGGGAGAGTATATGAAAAGTTAGGAAACATTGTAAATAAAAGAAGCAGGCCTAGTAAGCGCAAGCTTGTCATTCTGAACTCAAGGTCGATGTGCATAAACTGAGGGCTGGGGATGTAGCTCAATGATAAGCCACTTGCCCAGCATGTGCAAGGTCACAACTTCCATTTCCAGTATACCTCCCCTACCAGGACTGTAACAAAAATAAGAAAAATAAAATGAAGGACATATTAGGAAACCCCACAGAGTGGGAGATAGGAAAATCATGAATGTCCACCCACTACACACTTGCTCCTTGTGGTGGTGCTGGAGAAAGTAGCAGGGTGGACCAGCTTTGCACACACGGCTGATTCTGGAAGTGGTTTACTCTGGATCTGGCCAGAACTCATGCATACATATAGGAGAATAAGGAAGGGCTGAGGACAGGTGAGTCACCTTGTGGGTGATGGCCAGGACCAGGACCAGAGTTCACAGAATATGTACAGGGAAAGAGGGATCTTGAACAGAGGGAAATCCTTCCATGACACCATGATGCTTAGGTAACAAGGTGTCCCACCTTCTTACCTGTGCGTTTCTTGTTCTGTCTTAATATCCATACAACATGAACAGTCAGATTTAGTCGCATTTGACAGACAATGGCAGATCAGTGACGGTGTCAAGTTGAGATTGACAGCTCCCCCTCACTAGCTCTGCCGTCATCTTTCCCTGAGACCTCAAGCATCTTGTGAAGTTCTTCACTATGCAGGTTGGTTTTTGTTTGTTTGTTTTTGTTTTTAATTTACTTCATGGGGACTGGAGAGATGGCTCAGTGGTTAAGAGCATCAGCTCCTCTTCCAAAGAACCTGGGTTCAATTCCCAACACCCACATGGCAGCTCACGATCATCTGTAACTCTAGTTCCAGAGGACCCATTGCCATCTTCTGGCTTCTGAGAGGACCAAGCACACAAGTTGTGCACATAAACAGAATGCCCCTGCACATACACATAAGACAATTTTTAAAAAATCAACGTCACACCCTGGGAAGATGACTCAGTGGCTAAGAGTACTTGTTGCTTTTTCAGAGGACCCAGAATCCACACGGTGGCTCACAATTATCCATAATTCCAGTTCCAAGGAATCTGACACGAACATCCATACACATAAAATAAAATCAATAAATCTTTTAAAAAGTTAGTTAATTTCACAATACAGCATAATAATATATTTCTCTCTCTCTCTCTCTCTCTCTCTCTCTCTCTCTCTCTGTCTCTGTGTGTGTGTGTGTGTGTGTGTGTGTGTGTGTGTGTGTGGTGTGTTTCAGAGAGAGACAGAGACAGATTAAGAATTGTACCTAGGGACCAAGCAAGTGCTCTCTACCACTGAGATGTACATCTCAACTATGTGCGTGAAGGAACAGATTTTTTGGTTTGGTTTTTGTTTGTTTGTTTTTTCACTTTGCAAGGTGAACTTAGTTGACACGTTTCACTTGATGAATAAGTTCCTCAGAAACAAATATGGAGAGACCTTTGTTTTTCCCCACCCACAGTTTGAAGCAATTGCCTTAAATTCTGTTTCACTGTTCATCCATTCATATCTCCACTCAGGGGAGTGAAACGTGTTTACACAGGGCTCTGTGTGTACTCAGTAATGCAGTGGGAGTCAGGGAAGAGCTACAGGCAAGACAGACTTGGGTTCTAGATGGAGCTCTCTTTCCAATGAAGAGAGTAGCGCTGGCTATATTTAGAATCTTGAAACAGTGAAAGGAAGGTTCCAGAAGAGCTGAGCGTGGTCTTGTGCTGAATCCAGGTCATCTTTAAGGAGAAACAGGAGGTAGCAGGTAGCCAAGGATGCAGAGAGCTTTCCAGACAGTCAAAACAATCTTCCCAGGGATCAGAGCCCAGGACACAGGAACCTTTCAAAGGAAAGAAAGGAGGCAGTGTGGCTGTCATGCCTAAGGCAAGTGACAAAAGGTATTGGAAGGACAGATAAAGATGTGTTAGGATGGGTGGCCTGAGAATTTTTCCAGAAGTGAGCCTAAGCAGGGTGACAGAATATGACCCATGAAGAATTTACTCTGACCATTGACAGGAAGCATACATCAGCATGGAAACCCCAGTTGAGAAGTGGGTGTAGAAAACCAGGAGAAAGAGCATAGTCTGAGGTGGAGAGGTGAAATTTTCAGTCTTTGAACTCATTATCACCAGCTGTGTTTGGACTTTGGAAATGGAAGAGCCAGGTAGGACATACAGATGGAAGTGCACATGTGTCAAGACATGTATAACATGAAGGAATCTTTTTGATTGATAGACTCCTAGAATGGGAAAGGATATTCTTAGCATCTCCTAGGCCTGAATTATGTTCTTCACCATTCTCTGCCAAAGGGACCCCCTAAAGGAGGCCTCCTTCCTCTTTGTGAGGAGCCCCATTCCAGCTCACCCTCCGAGAGTTCACCGAGAGGTTTGGGTTCTACTTGGTGAAGTGAGACTGCCTATAGGACACCCTCTGTTGACCTCAGTTCACACATTGAGATCTGGTTTGATGCTCTCTTTACTGCAAGTTGTGGGCATTCATTCTAGATGGGCCAAGCTAATTAAGACCATAGCCGCAATTCTAGTCCTAGAATGCTGTAACTGTCTCCAAAGTTCACGTATCTACTGGCACATACACATGGCTGTGTATGTGTGTCTGTGGTTATGTGTATATGATCATGTGGGTACAGTGCACACATGTGTGTACAGACTGGAAGTTAACTTTGGATGTCTTCCTCAATTACTTTGTGTGTGTGTTTGTGTGTGTATGTGAGCACACACGTGTGCATGCATGCATGCACACACAATGTATATGTACATGTATGCAGGTATTTGCATGTGTATGCATGGAGGACAGAGGACTATGCCAAGTGTCATGCTTTATCATTCTCTACCTGCTTGAGACAGGGCCTCTCACTGAACCTGGAGCTAAGCTGGTGGCCAGCAAGCCCCAGAGATCTCTCCACCCCACCCTCCACAGCCCTAGCATTGAAGGCGTGGGTGCCATGGCTAGGTTTTTATGTAGGTGCTGAGAATTTAAACTCAGATTAGAACCTAGGTTCTCATCCTGGAGCAGCAAGTGCTCTCTGCCTGCAGAGCCATTTCCCCAACCTCGGTCCACATTTTTCTTTGAGACAGAGGCTCTCGCTGAACCTGCGACACATCTGTTTGCTTTGGCTGGCTGGCCAGTGAGCTCCAGGGGTCTGTTTTCCTCAAATGGTCCTCTGACCACTGGGTTTCCAGATGGGTGCCACCATGCCTGACTTTAAATATGGATGTTGAAGATCAGAATGCAAGACCTCATGCTTCCTTACTTGCCTGCTTGGCAGGCACTTCACTAACTGAACCATCTCTTTGGCCCCACCCCCAGGCTTTTAATACTGGTGTTACTGTTGAACTGGTTTCCACCCCCCATTTTCTCTGACTCAGTCATGTTGAGAGGCAGGCAGCTCAGGCAAATGTTACCTGTATTCTTCTTATCCAGTGAATTCCCCCCATCTACTAAGTCTGAGACCATTATGACTAAAAGCAGCCCCAAACACCCCTTGATATCTTATTAATACAGTTCTCAGCATGAGAGGGACAGCGTTATAGTAGCAGGCACCAGGCACCGGATGAGAGAATTGTTCCTTTAATTCCCCCTTCTGTTCTTGCAAACAATGGGAGGGCTGGCCAATTCTGTTTCAATTGATAGCCTGTAGAGTGTGCCACATTTGAATAATTTAGTTCTTTCTTTGATGTCACCAGTAAACAGTCCCCTCCCCAAACCAGCACTTCAAGACGTCAAATCAAAATGGCCATTGGGCTTCTAATCTTCTGGCCACTGCCAGACGCGGTATCTTCTCCTCAGATCAAACCATTAATCGGGGCTGAGCCCTTGAACTCTCTCTGCTCCAGCTCAAGAAATGAAATACGAAAAACACAAGCATCACATCGATCCCAGCAGTCCGGTCCGGTTCTGTGTGGCTCTCACCAGAGCCCACAACCTCACCAAAACCAGAGAAAGACCTAGTGTACTACTCAGAGGGACACATCATCCATTCATCCACAAACGCTGATGGAGTTTGTAGCTAGGTTACAGGAGGACAGAGGAACTCCCTGGAAGTTGACGTTTAAAGAGATTTTCCTTCAATGCAGGGAGAAGCGATAGAAAAATCTAGATGGTGGCCTCAGCGATACCAAAGCACAACATTTTTAATGTACTACTGGGACTAGAGACCTCCACAGGTGGGGATTGCGCAGGTGGGCTCAGCTTCGTGGTATAATAGTTTTATAATAATAGACAGTATAATAGTTTCTAAAACGGCTCAGAAAGGTTAAGACTTGTACAGAAGCAAAAGCATCTCAGCAAAGTCAAGCCAGGAGGGAGAAGAGTGGAAAGCAAGGGAGAACCTGGAAGGAAGGGGATGGGTGCAGAATCCTCCATCCTGTGTTCTTTTCTACCAAAGGTTGGCTGACTTGTTTCAACCCGGCACCCGTGTAACCCAGAACAAAAGCGCTCTGCCGGGCCTCTGCGTGGGGAGAGGGACCACGCACACCTTGCAGTGTGCAGGAAGCAAGCAATCAGCAGCTGCTCACAGAGGGGCAAACACAGGGGTGGGATTGGGAGCGGTAGGACGCGTGCCACAGCTGTTCCCATCCAGCCCTACACACATCTGCCGCGAGCCCTGGTGTCCAAAAATGCTCTCAGGGAGTAACTGAAGTTTAGTCTCGCAAATCCAGCTGGTGGTCACACCCCAAGTGAGGGCGCGGCACCTTGCCACTTTACCTGAGCGCAGAGGGTCATCCGGAGAAGCCATGAAGACCGGGAGAGGACAGATGAGTGTCCGAGCAGGGGTGGGCAGTCTCTGGGACCCCCGAGAACAGCAGGATCGCCGGGACCCGACCTCCTGCCGTGGCAAAGCGCGACTCTCTCTGCGCTCTGCCCTGCTGCTCCTCCTCCTCCCTTTTCTCCTCCTCTTGATCTCTGCCACTTCTTCCTCGTGCTCACTTCCTGCAATTAGCAAAGCCCCTTCCCGGTGCGAGCGCCTTTCTAGAACTCTGGAGAGGATCCCGTGGGTTGCAATTGGGCACCAGAGGACCCTGCGGGGTCCCCGGAGCACGTGTCCTGCCGGTACCTAGGGTGTAGAACGCTGGTCCCACCACGGGGGTCCCACGCGATCGCAGCTGGAAGGGCCTTTCAGCTAGCCTTGCACTGGCTGCTGCACGCGCGGGTGGCTTACCCGGTTCCTAATCTCGCCCTCAGCTGGGACACGAAAGCGCTCCCAGCGTGCTCCTTGCACAGGCCCGGGCTGAGACGCCTGCCGGCGATTTGATGTTTGAACAGTTTCCTAATCTTCAGGCAGCCTGAACGGCGGCATGACTGCACATGCTAGCACTTTCTATTTTGATGTTTCTTTGGCATTAGTTACTGCCTGACCTCCTGGGTGAGCACTACACAAAGGAGCGGGAAGAAAAGCCAGTCGTGAGGTCTCTGGTTCACTCCTCTGAAAGAAAAAAAAAAAACAAAACCCAAAAACACAGTGTAGAGTTCTGTTAGAAATGTGAACCCATTGGCCCGTAAAAGAATTAAGATTTAGTTTAAATGGGATTTTATTCTAATTAAGAGCAGAGACTCTGATCTTTTAAAATGGCTATATTTTATTTAAAAGTTTAAGTTTTCTCTTATTTTAAAATCATATGGGGGGGGAGATATGTACGGGTGAGCACAGTGCCTTCAGAGTCTAGAAGAGGGGTGGTAGCTCCCCTAAAGCTGGAGTCGCTGTGGGTTGCGGCCTTGCTAGAAACTGAAGTTGTGAAAGTGATAGCACTCTCCATGCAAAGCAGCCTCTCCTGCTCTAGTGGCTGTATCTTTCCTATCTGCATATACAAAGGTTACAGACCAGTTACATTGAATAGGAATCTCTGAAAGGAAGCGCATAATCCATATCTGCCCTTGGACATAAGCACAGAACTATAAAAAAGGGAGTTTAAAGGAGATGACAGCCAGGGATGTAGGTCAGTTATAGTGTCTGGCATGTATGAGCCCCAGCCTGATGACATATGTTGTAATCCCAGCACACAAGAGGCTGAGGATGGAGAGTAGTCTGGAGTTTGAGACCACCAAGAACTTTATGGTGTGAAGCTATATTAAAGAAGAGGAAGAAGAGGGGGAGGAAGAGAAAGAAAGAAAAGAAAGAGTATTTCAGTATTTACTGGACAATTTCATTAACAAATTACCCAATTCAGATTAAAAACTGAAAATTTCAGGGAAACAGCAAATGCCTATGTACCTTTGTGGTGACTCCCAGGCTGCTCTGTGGTTCTGAGGTGCATGGCACTCTTGGGGTTGGTTTGTAGTCTCCATAAGAGCCATGGAAACATGTGTCTTCCAAGAGGAGGCCACAATGGCTCAGGTAAGGAAGGGAAATTAATTTAGAAAGGGTATTTTCTCAGGGAGTCTATTTTGAGGTTTGGTCTGTGGTTCCTTCTGTATTTCACATGGAGATGGAATTCATTTCTGAGGTTTGGTTGTTAGAAACCACATATCAAGTTGGGCTGTCTTGTTAGCACAAGTTCTAGTGGTTTGTTTTTCAAAAGGACATGATAAGTGAGTTTCCTTACTTTACATCACCAGATAGACGATGATTTTAGAAATCTACAGTCTTTCTTTTTATGTGTGTGCACATGGGTGAGATGTGCCATGGAAGCAAATGTCAGAAGGTAACTCTCTCTTGCTGTGGGCCATGGGGTCAAACTCAGGTCACCAGGCTGGGAGGCTAGACCTTCCCTTACCTGCTCCCTTACCTGCTGAGCTTAGCACCCCCGTCTCTTTCTCCTATTATTATTATTATTATTATTATTATTATTATTATTATTTCTTCTTCTTTGAGACAGTCTCACTCTGTAGACCAGGCTAGCCTCAAACTCAAATCCACCCAAATGTTTCTGCCTCATGCTGGCTGGGATTACAGTTACCTTCCACATCTGACTAAGGTTAATTATTTTTAGCCTGTATGTTTTTATATGTGGAGATGTGTTTGCCTGTCTGCATGTTTGTGTGCAACATGTATGTAGTACCTTCAGAGGCCAGAAAAAGGGCTTCTGATTCCCTTGGTATTTGAGTTACAGTTGTGGCTGCTCAAACCCAGTCCAGTGCTCTTAACTGCTGAGATGTCTCTCCAGTTTAAGGTGAAATTTTTTCTGTTTTTTTTTTTTTTTAACAGTATTTCTCATCGTCTGAACTTCCCATGCGTTAGTATTCTGTCTAAACTCCACCTCCACAGTTATCTGCCAACAGCCAGGTATGCTCCTCCCCATAGTTACCTGGCAACAGCCAGGCAGGCCTGCCCACTATAAAAGGGGCTGCTTGCCTCCTCCTCTCTCTCTTACTCTCTTTCTCTCTTGCCTCTAGCTTCTCCTCGCCCTTCCTCCCTTCCCTTCCCCCTCCACGCCGGCCTCTACTTCTCTCCTCTCTCTCTCCTCTTTCTCCACCATCTCCCGTTTCTCTCCCCATCTTTGCCCTCTGCCCTGAATAAACCCCCTCCCCTTTGGAACCGTTTGGTCTGGTGTTGTCTGTTCCAAGCTGCGCGCTGAAGTCTAACACCATGCAATGCTCTTACTGTCACAATAGATGTCTCAGGACATCTAATATGGGAGCTTCTGTTGCTCCCAGAGAGTGTCCTACTTGGTAGTGGTGGTCACATGACCCTTCTAAAGTATTTTTTAAGACTTCTTTTTATTTGTGTGTGCATATGTATGGATATGTGTACGTGAGTGCAGGTGCCCTAAGAGGTGTCTGATTCCATTTATTTATTTATTTATTTATTTATTTATTTATTTATTTATTTTTAAAGAGACTTGTGGCCATGCCCAGCTTCTACGGGAGTGCTGGGGGTTTGAATTCATGTCCTTTTGTTCACTTGTGGCTGGGCATGGCCACAAATGCCAATAGAAGCAGGGAGATCCTGGAGCTTGCTGGCCAGCCAGCCTAACCAGAACAATGAGCTTCAATTCCAGAGAGACACTCTGGCTTAGGAAAGAAAGGAGGGAGGGAGGGAGGGAGGAAGGGATCAAAACGCATACCCACTGAACCATCTCTCCAGCTCTATTTTGTTGTTGTTTTGGGTTTTTTATTTGCTTATATATTGAGAAAGTCTCTCATGCAGCCCAGGCTGGTCTTAAATTCCCTACGGAGTTGAGGGTGACCTTGAGTTTTTAATCTTCCTGCCTCTGCCTCCAAGATTACAGGCACATGCTATACCCAGTATTGTTGCTTTGGAGATTTTTTAATCAACCTCCACTTGTCCTGTTCTGACTCGGTCATCTCAGAGTCAAACAGCTGACTTTGACTCCAGCATAAAAGAGAGGAAAAGAAGAAGCAGAGGGAGAAGGTGAAGGGAGAGGGCGGGAAGGGACGAGCAGGAGAATGAGGAAGACAGAGGAGTGATGCTGTAACTGTCATGTAAGTAGGTGGCTGTCATGTGATACATATTTCTCTTACAATTTAGCCTACTGAGAGCAGTTTCTTACTTCATTTTTTTAAAAATTAAAATATAATTACATAATTTTCCCTTCCCTCTCCCCTGTAAAACCGTCCCTTGCTCCCTTCTCACTTTCATGCCTCTGATTATTTTCACATGACCTTTTAGCGTTGCTTGAATGATTTCAGGGATGACCCCTTGATATTGGATAATCAATTCATGGACCCATCCCTAGGGAGACTATTTTTGCCAATCTCAGCATTCTTTAGTTGTCTTTAGCTCTTTATTTAGGAGTGGGGCCCTGTGAGATTTCCCCCTTCCACGTCAGCAGGTCTGTTGGTGTTGCCATTGTTCAGGTCTTGATTAGGCTGCCTTGTTGTTGAGGTATCATGGGTATAGCTTCCTTGTCATTTCTAGGAGACACAATCTCACAGCAGACTTAAGGTTTTTATTGTGCTTTCCCAACAAATATTTCAATATGTCCTGTTTTTACATGCCACGGACAAGGGGGTAGACGATAGCATCCAGTAGTGATTTTGAAAGGGATTGAACCCAGGGCCTTACACTGAACTGTACTCCTCCAGCTCTTATTTTAGTTTTTAATTTTGAGACAGAGTCCTGCTGAGTTACCCAGGCTGGCCTTGAACTAATACTGTAGCCTAGGCAGCAGTCCTGAACTTGTCATTCTCCTGCTTCAGCCCACAGAGATGCTGGGATGACATTCCTACACCACAAGACCTGAAAATATTTTCTTAAACGTGATTCCCCACACCAAACCAAACACTAAGCCCTGAAGCTTAAAAGGTGGCATATGGTTTAACAATGTGTATTGTTCTTTCAGAGAACCCTAGATTGGTTCTTAGCACCCATGTCAGATAGCTCGCAATTTCGTGTCTCTCCAGCTCCATGACCACCCAACATCTATCTCAATCCTCAAGGACATATGAACACCCTCTTTCTCCCTGTCTGTCTCTCTCCTGAGTTTTTATATTATAGCCAATGTCTATTACATGAAGTATAGAAAAAACTTTTGGTCTTTTTTTTACCCCACAAGTAGCTAGAGACAAAAATTATAACGGAAGTTTGGTAGGGTTTGTTTCGTTTTGTTTTTAATGGGGAAAGAACTGTCAAAATATGCTTTAGCTGGAACTAGTGGCCTGTGCCTATAATCCCAAAACTCAGGACTTAGAGTTAGGAAAATCACATGTTCAAGTCCAGCCCAGCTACCTAGCAAACTCTGCTTCAAAAAGGACAGAGGAGTGTGTGTGTGTGTGTGTGTGTGTGTGTGTGTGCTGGCTCTGGGAGATGGCTGAGTTAGTAAAATGCTCGTCGAACAAGCATGAAGACCCAAGTCAGAACATTAGAACCCACCTAAAGCTGGCTATTTAGCATCAAAACAGCAGGAGAACTTGTCTTCAAAAAGATAGAAGGTGAGGTTCTA